AGGACTTTGGAGCTCAAACATGGAGCTCCATCCCTTTCTGTCTCTGCTCCACATCAGAACAGAAACTCACTGCCTCACTTTTGGCATCCGCTCAGAGGACACACCTCAGCACTCTGGGCTCTGACACTCTTTGTAAGGAAACGATTCAGTGGAACAAATAAATATATTTGTACAATGTGGGAAACCAGAAGAGACTAGTGGTCAGAAGCAAGATGATATATGTTATGTGACTTAAACCAGATGGACTGTTTAAACTTGTATTTTAGATGACATGCAAAACCATTATTTGAGGACTAAAAGGCAACCAGGCACAGACATCCGTTCACTTTGACACTGGCTGGATGAGTGAGTGAGTGATGTGCTCCATGATGGTTTTTTTTTTTTTTTTTTTTATGGGATCAAAATAAGTGGGGAAAGACTGCTGACTGATCTATGGAGAAACGTACACAGGAATCAGAAAAACCTATGTAAATTCTGTCTTTCCTTTTTGTTTTTGTAATTTAAAAAGTTGTTTTGAAGATCTGCTCTCCCTGAGTTGAACAGTTTTACTCATGTTGTAGAATGTGTGAACATTTTTTTAACCGCTCTTAGTGTTTCTTTATTTTCTCTGCGTTGTTTTTTTACTTACTCTTTTTTTCCTGTCCATGTGGATGATGATGTTGTAGCACAGTGGCTGGTCTCAGGTACTGTGGGAGATGGAGAGAAATACATGGGATCTCTCCTCTGTGAATTGCACTTTTGAGGGAAAAAAGCAAACCGTTTGGCATTTCTGGCATTGACATTTACAGGAAGCAACAGAAATAAAGGCAGACGTGGGATCATTTTATACAGCAGGCTGGTCTCTCCCAAAGGGACAAAAGTGATGCTCTCGGTCAAAATTGTGCTTTTATTGTTTTTCGCATTAGATTAAGTTACCTGGGAATCATAGTTTGTGCCTTTCCAAGTAAAACATTTAACACTAATGTGTCCCTCTCTACGATTCCTATCCAGGCCGGGTGTCCATGGCCCTCTCAGAGTGTTTGTTCTCTACGGTGCGCTCCATGCCAGTCTAATGGAGTCCGTTGGCATTTCTCAGATTTTTTTTCACTGTTGTAAATTGTATCATAGCAAAGCTCCATTAAGACTTGAGTCTATGGGTTTATACGCAGTAACAGAGGTTGCCTATCAGAGTGAGGATGTGTATTGATTTACATACCTATTAAATGTTGCTTTTCTTCTATGCCTCATAAGATGGTACATTTTGTGTCTGTGCATAATCACTGCTTTGAGTTTATGGTTGTGGTTAACCCTTGCGGTTATTTCAACGATAGTCAACATCACGTGATGAAACGCAGCCAGTTGCAGTTAGTCACCAGGTTGTGGTGCCATAGAACACATCACATTTGTAGCTGCAGGGCAAGTGCCTTAAACACCGCTTAACCTGCTGCATTATACAATTCACTGAGCACACATTGTCAGTCAGAATGGCATAAGAGCAGGTGGCACACCCTTGTAGTTTATATAGTGCTAGAACAGGATATTTTTATACCTCCAAATGACACTTTTTTTCCCCTTGCAGATACAACAGAGCTAGTCAATTAACACATCCTGTGATTATTCAATCATTAACCTCTTTAGGACAGACTGTCAAGAAACATGAATGAACTGTTCTTAAATATGGTGTTCAACAGTGGCTCTCAACCAGCTGTTCATGATTTACTGGTTAAGGCTTAACCCTAAAAAAGTTTTTGTACCCTGGGGGATACAAACATTTGAGAGGCTGTGAAAGATTAGGCCTCTTTTCTTGGTTTCATGTTGAATGGGTGTTTGTTGTGAATGTTTAGATATGGTGGTGAGTGACTTCATACATTCTTTGTTAAGCTCACAGGGCAGCATTTTAAACAAAACATGGCCAGCTGTAGTGGGAAATCTACTCGCCATCAGATATAAGTTGTTATATTTCACATATTTACAATATTTGGAGGAGACTTGCAAGTTTAAAAAGTTGTTAAGCATTAGCTTATTACGTTTATGTTTGAATTAGTTTGTAAATTTTTCATAATCTAACTGTTTGTATCTCAGTTTGTATCTAGTTACAGTTTGTAACTGGGTATAAAAATGGACTATAGTCTATATATATATATGAGAGAGAGCGAGAGAGAGAGAGACACACACAACAAAACTTATATATATAGAGAGATACACTCAACAAAACTTATATATATATAAAGAGAGAGATACACTCAACAAAACTTATATATAGAGAGAGAGAGATATACACAACAAAACTTATATATATATATATATATATATATAGAGAGAGAGAGATACACTCAACAAAACTTATATATATATATATATGTTTTGTTGAGTGTATCTCTCTCTCTCTATATATATATATGTTTTGTTGAGTGTATCTCTCTCTCTATATATATATATATATATAGAGAGAGAGAGAGATACACTCAACAAAACATATATATATATAGAGAGAGAGAGATACACTCAACAAAACATATATATATATATATAGAGAGAGAGAGATACACTCAACAAAACATATATAGAGAGAGAGATACACTCAACAAAACTTATATATATATATATATATATAGAGAGAGATACACTCAACAAAACTTATATATATATAGAGAGAGAGAGAGAGAGAGATACACTCAACAAAACTTATATATATAGAGAGATATACACTCAACAAAACTTATATATATATATATAGAGAGAGAGATACACTCAACAAAACTTATATAGAGAGAGAGAGATACACTCAACAAAACTTAAATATATATATATACACTCACCTAAAGGATTATTAGGAACACCATACTAATACTGTGTTTGACCCCCTTTCGCCTTCAGAACTGCCTTAATTCTACGTGGCATTGATTCAACAAGGTGCTGAAAGCATTCTTTAGAAATGTTGGCCCATATTGATAGGATAGCATATTGCAGTTGATGGAGATTTGTGGGACGCACATCCAGGGCACGAAGCTCCCGTTCCACCACATCCCAAAGATGCTCTATTGGGTTGAGATCTGGTGACTGTGGGGGCCATTTTAGTACAGTGAACTCATTGTCATGTTCAAGAAACCAATTTGAAATGTTTCGAGCTTTGTGACATGGTGCATTATCCTGCTGGAAGTAGCCATCAGAGGATGGGTACATGGTGGCCATAAAGGGATGGACATGGTCAGAAACAATGCTCAGCTAGGCCATGGCATTTAAACTATGCTCAATTGGCACTAAGGGGCCTAAAGTGTGCCAGGAAAACATCCCCCACACCATTACACCACCACCACCAGCCTACACAGTGGTAACAAGGCATGATGGATCCATGTTCTCATTCTGTTTACGCCAAATTCTGACTCTACCCTCTGAATGTCTCAACAGAAATCGAGACTCATCAGACCAGGCAACGTTTTTCCAGTCTTCAACTGTCCAAGTTTGGTGAGCTCTTGCAAATTGTAGCCTCTTTTTCCTATTTCTAGTGGAGATGAGTGGTACCCGGTGGGGTCTTCTGCTGTTGTAGCCCATCCGCCTCAAGGTTGTGCGTGTTGTGGCTTCACAAATGCTTTGCTGCATACCTCGGTTGTAACGAGTGGTTATTTCAGTCAAAGTTGCTCTTCTATCAGCTCGAACCAGTCTGGCCATTCTCCTCTGACCTCTGGCATCAACAAGGCATTTTCGCCCACAGGACTGCCGCATACTGGATGTTTTGCCCTTTTCACGCCATTCTTTGTAAACCCTGGAGATGGTTGTGCGTGAAAATCCCAGTAACTGAGTAGATTGTGAAATACTCAGACCGGCCCGTCTGGCACCAACAACCACGCCACGCTCAAAATTGCTTAAATCACCTTTCTTTCCCATTCTGACATTCAGTTTGGAGTTCAGGAGATTGTCTTGGCCAGGACCACACCCCTAAATTCCATGTGATTGGTTGATTAGATAATTGCATGAATGAGAAATTGAACAGGTGTTCCTAATAATCCTTTAGGTGAGTGTATATATATAGAGAGAGATACACTCAACAAAACTTATATATATATATATAGAGAGAGAGAGATACACTCAACAAAACTTATATATATATATATATATATATATAGAGAGAGAGAGATACACTCAACAAAACTTATATATATATATATATATATAGAGAGAGAGAGATACACTCAACAAAACTTATATATATATATATATATAGAGAGAGAGAGAGATACACTCAACAAAACTTATATATATATATATATATATATATATATATATATATATAGAGAGAGAGAGAGAGAGATACACTCAACAAAACTTATATATATATATATATATAGAGAGAGAGAGAGAGAGAGAGAGATACACTCAACAAAACTTATATATATATATATAGAGAGAAAGAGAGATACACTCGACAAAACTTATATATATATATATATAGAGAGAGAGAGAGAGAGATACACTCAACAAAACTTATATATATGTAGAGAGAGAGAGAGATACACTCAACAAAACTTTTATATATATATATATATATATATAGAGATAGAGATAGAGAGAGAGAGAGAGAGAGAGAGAGAGAGAGAGAGAGAGAGAGAGAGAGAGAGAGAGAGAGAGAGAGAGAGATACACTCAACAAAACTTATATATATAGAGAGAGAGATACACTCAACAAAACTTGTGCGCACACAAAAGAGGAAAGGGAAAAACACGGGAGGAATATGTAGTGTGCTTCACGACCAGCAGGTGGTGATATTTGACAACTGCTCAAACACTAGCAAACCCAAATGCGTGAAACATTGTTTTATTGTGAAAATAAGCGTAAACCCGCAATTCCTCATATTGATACGCGCCTGAAAAAAGAAAAAAAAAAAAAAGCTAAAAAAAAATCTTAAAGGGACTTTTACCGGACTCGCTTTTAAAAAGCAGACGTCGGATGAATGAGAGCGGGCGTGGCTTAATACGCACGTGATAACAACACGAATCGAAAATAACAAGACGCTATACTAGCTCTTTTGCACCAGACAAATTCAACATTAACCATGCTGCATTATGATCTTTACCAATATGTAATTTAAAAGTGTAAGTCTCAATCGATGAAAGAGAATGATGAAGTTTTATTTCGCGCCTCGTCCATCGTGACTTATTTGCAAAGTCAGCTGACCAAAACCATAGGAGGAACTGCAGTTACAACTGTTATGGAAAGAAATCATTGACCTTCACACTAGACTCGTTCTCTGCAGTGATGAAGCCGGCGCTGGAGAGGACAATATGCAGAGGTGGATAAACGGAAATATAATTTTTTAGCCGACTGGGAATTGACTGTATCGCGTTAATCATGCCGGACTCCACAGAAGCCTCTTTACCCGCCGTCAGACGACTGAGTTACTCAGTGGGGCATTTTCTCAACGACCTGTGCGCCTCGATGTGGTTTACATACCTGCTGGTGTTTTATCACTCAGTGCTGGGCTTTCAGAACACATATGCGGGTGTGTTGTTGTTAGTGGGGCAGATTGCGGATGGAGTGTGTACACCACTAATCGGTTATGAGTCTGACAGGACACCCGGCTGTGGATCGTATGGGAAAAGAAAAACATGGCATTTAGTCGGTAAGTCCCCATGAAATCAAATGAACTCTTTTTTATGGAATATTGCACTATTTATTGTAAATGAATTATCGCTACAGATCATTATTATCGTTTTGTATTCATGTGCCTTCGTAATCTTTGATCAAAATAACTTCCCCCTCCCTCTTGCAACATCTGTGTTTTCTGATGACGGGTTTACTGGCATTTACTCACGTGAGATCAGAGCAATAGCAACAACCATCCACAAGTCCCGCCCTACATATTGAACAATTAATCACATCTTCTGTTTCATGGTGGTAAAGGAAACATTAATGCAAATGTTGCACTGTCATCACCATTGTTGTTCCAGAGCTGTATGACTTTTAAAAACAGATGTCATTGCATATTTTGTAAATGATGACACAATTATTTTTGGTGAAGTGTCTCTTTAAGGTTTATTCCATGCATATTATTTGATATACATTCTCATCTACTGTATTTTACCCCAACTAGGGACCTTCAGCGTCCTCCTATCCTTCCCCTTTATATTTAACCAGTGCCTGGGCTGTGATCCTAACACTCCACAGTGGGTCAGTCTCACCTACTTTACCCCCTTCATCGTCATCTTCCAGTTTGGATGGGCGGCCACCCAGATTTCCCATCTCTCCCTCATTCCCGAGCTGGTGTCTTGCGAGCATGAGAAAGTGGAGCTCACTGCATACAGGTAAACTCATGCAGCTCTGTGCTAATGATCAAACATTCTTGTGTTGCTTGTTTGGAGGACTTTGCCTGTACTTACCGGTATGATGTCTTAACTTTTTATTGTATTTTGGTTGTATCCCTCAGGTATGCCTTTACGGTGATGGCTAACATCACAGTGTATGCAGTGGCCTGGTTGATGTTTCATTTTCAGACTCAGGAGGGAGATGATCCTGCCATTACAGAAAACCTTGGCCCTGTTGACATTCCCGTTTTCAGAGTGAGTGCTGAACTTTTATTGTGCTGAGGTGAACTCTCGCTCATTTAATCCTGCATTACAAGACACCTAAATTTAAAGACCCTATAAAGTCAAAATATTTGTGAACATCTATATGGTAGTGTATTCCTAAAAGTAGATTAAACTTTTGAAGGTATTGTGTGTGCACAATAAGACCAAGAATCAAGACCAGAACCAGAAAAGAGACTTTATATGTATGCAATATGCAGAAAAATAATGCCTTACCTTTGCTAGCACCATGCTCTACAGGAAGAGAATGCACCATGCTCTTTGAGCTACAGGAAATTTCATTAAAAGTTAAATGACCCAAAACATTTCCCTTAGATGTTTCTCTAGATGAGTAGTAAATTGTTGTTAAAGTAATGTAATCACCGGTTTATGCTTTTCAGCTGATTTTTATGGACCAGTCTTTTCAGCCTTTGCTTCTGTTGACATTTACCTAGCAGGTTACATAATGTAGGTCTGGACAAAAGACCTCTGACAAGCTTAATGCAGAAATATCTTTTCACACACAGAATTTAAGTCTTGTAGTGGTGTGCATTGGGGCTCTGTTCTCGGTGCTGTTTCACCTGGGCACACGGGAGAAGGGCGCACGTCCCCGTCAGGAGGAGGATGGCTCTAGTTCTGGTGAGCGCCAGTCACTTCTTCACAACGCCACTGTGGCCCCTCCCACTAATCCACTGCAGTGGCAGCATTGGCTGAGACAGCCATCATTCTACCAGGTTAGTAGCCAGTACCCATGTTACTCTTCACTGGCATGGCATTTAATTCCCAGCTTTTGTGAATAATCTGAATAGTGGGTTGAAACACAATGTTATCACTTAATCACAGTGGTGTGAAATCTTCAGGAAACAGTATTTAGTAACTGTCTGTTATAACTGACTTTAACATCTTCTCTAAACCCTGCTCTATTCAGGTGGCTGTGCTTTATATGTCCACCAGACTAATAGTAAACCTATCACAAACATATATTTCCATGTACCTCACCTACTCACTACTGCTGCCAAAGGTACGACAATTATAGTAATACTTCACTTTACACCCAGATTAGCATCAGCAACAAAAGCATTGAAGAAAATAGACAGTAATCTCTGTTTGACCCTCTGTCTTGCAGAAGTACATAGCCACCATTCCACTGGTCATGTTCCTGAGTGGCTTTGCTTCCTCATTTATCATGAAACCTCTCAGCAAGCTAATAGGCAAATCTGTGAGTATGAGTGTGCATTTCTGTCTTTTGATTGAAATATAAGGAGTGTGTACACCACTAATCGGTTATGAGTCTGACAGGACACCCGGCTGTGGATCGTATGGGAAAAGAAAAACATTAATAACTCTTCCCATTGTTGAATGTGATTAGCAATACCAGTCAGTATTGCTGTGTCATATACTGTACGTGTGATCATATTTATGAGTTGAGCACACATGAATGCCACCATAAAGTTGTAATTACCAGTGAGGAAACGTTAAATTTTTATTTGAGCCCAGACTTTGAGTTGGAGGTGTGCCAATTTAAATACACAAATGCAGCGTCATATACACACCTGATGTGCATCCTTGGCTGTTTTATTTTTATTTTGCATCAGTGCTAGAAAACTTCCTGTCTTGGGCATCCAGAGGTAGAGACAAAAGAAAATTGAAAATAATTAACATAGCTGCGGTTCATAACATTTCAAGCAATAGATAGTCATGTGGGTTCGATCTGATATAGTCTGATATATATCAGGAGTACAAGGATATGAGATGCATTGTTTGGCTAAACTAAAGAGATGTCTTGAATCTAGATTTAAACTGGGAGAGTGAGTCTGAGCCCCGAACATTATCAGACAGGCTATTCCAGAGTTTAGTATACTTCCCTTCTATTCTTAATAAACTGCTGTTGTAATTGCCACAATATATAGCATTTGGAAATGAAAACGTTACAGATTAATTCCAGTAGCCCTGATATTTATGAAGAGTTGAATAATATTTATGAAGAGTATATGACTTTGAAAAACATGGCTTAATGTCTATACACTCACCTAAAGGATTATTAGGAACACCAGATCAATTTCTCATTAATGCAATTATCTAATCAACCAATCACATGGCAGTTGCTTCAGTGCATTTAGGGGTGTGGTCCTGGTCAAGACAATCTCCTGAACTCCAAACTTAGGGGGCTTTCACACTGGCAGTTTAGTTCGGAACGGGGCACGGTTCGCATGAAAAATCGCTAATGTGAACGCTGTCATGGGACCCGGGTGGGCACTGGGGTACCGAACCCGAGACTACCTGGAGGAGGTGGTCTGAGTTCGGTTGCTCCCGAACCGTGCCGAGGTTCGCGTGAATGTGAAAGCAGCACGGACTCGGGTGCGCACTTGTTCAGGAAGTAAAGTAACCTGCGCATGCGTTTTAGCTTATTGTGATGTATTCAGTTAAATAAAACACTTGTAAGGGATGATAGTGTTGATGATTTTACCTTGGATACGAGCGAGAGTGAGCCTGCAGTGTATTCGTGCATTGCGCGTGAAATCAGGGGACCAAATTTGGAAATCCACTGTCTCCTCAAAAGAGTCCGTTTGCAAGCAGCAGAAGGCCACCTTATGTGACACACGCACAGTAAACCTGTATTGTTCACTCAACTGCGCATAATGGCAGCGAATTAATAAAAAAAAACCATAATATTGCCCCATGTTCTGTTTTCTATCATGCGCCGTGCACGTTTGCGATGACGTAATATGCACGCAAACGCACTAGGGTTCGATAGAATCAAGTTGAGTGTGAAACCAGACCAACGCTACGGGGGTGCCGGGAACAAACGCGCTCGGGCTCGGACTGCAGCAAACGAGCCCAGTGTAAAAGCCCCCTTAATGTCAGAATGGGAAAGAAAGGTGATTTAAGCAGTTTTGAGCGTGGCATGGTTGTTGGTGCCAGACAGGCCAGTCTGAGTATTTCACAATCTACTCAGTTACTGGGATTTTCACACACAACCATTTCTAGGGTTCAGTCCTGTGGGCGAAAATGCCTTGTTGATGCTAGAGGTCAGAGGAGAATGGGCCGACTGATTCAAGCTGATAGAAGAGCAACTTTGACTGAAATAATCACTCGTTACAACCGAGGTATGCAGCAAAGCATTTGTGAAGCCACAACACGCACAACCTTGAGGCGGATGGGCTACAACAGCAGAAGACCCCACCGGGTACCACTCATCTCCACTACAAATAGGAAAAAGAGGCTACAATTTGCAAGAGCTCACCAAAATTGGACAGTTAAAGACTTGGAAAAATATTGCCTGGTCTGATGAGTCTCGATTTCTGTTGAGACATTCAGAGGGTAGAGTCAGAATTTGGCGTAAACAGAATGAGAACATGGATCCATCATGCCTTGTTACCACTGTGCAGACTGGTGGTGGTGGTGTAATGGTGTGGGGGATGTTTTCTTGGCACACTTTAGGGCCCTTAGTGCCAATTGGGCATCGTTTAAATGCCACGGCCTACCTGAGCATTGTTTCTGACCATGTCCATCCCTTAATGGCCACCATGTACCCATCCTCTGATGGCTACTTCCAGCAGGATACTGCACCATGTCACAAAGCTCGAATCATTTCAAATTGGTTTCTTGAACATGACAATGAGTTCACTGTACTAAAATGGCCCCCACAGTCACCAGATCTCAACCCAATAGAGCATCTTTGGGATGTGGTGGAACGGGAGCTTCGTGCCCTGGATGTGCATCCCACAAATCTCCATCAACTGCAAGATGCTATCCTATTAATATGAGCCAACATTTCTAAAGAATGCTTTCAGCACCTTGTTGAATCAATGCCACGTTGAATTAAGGCAGTTCTGAAGGCGAAAGGGGGTCAAACACAGTATTAGTATGGTGTTCCTAATAATCCTTTAGGTGAGTGTAGATAAGTAACATAGATAATTATAATTAAAATGTATAGATTCCACCAGTTTTCAGTGCTGAATATCGTTCATAGATTCTATTCTTATTACCTAATGTATTTACATGACTCTCCTATCATCATCACAATTTTTACCTGATAAAATATTTTTAAGCTTGACGTATATATAAAATGTATTATAAAATGTTATTAATTTATATGACTTTTCCAGGTCAGGAAATGACACCTAAAATTAAGCTACTACATATATCCAGGTTTTTCTAGACAATTCGAACCCTCGAAGAAATTCGATTCGAAGAAAAAAAATATATAGAAGGGTTGAATCAAAATAAGAAATCTTGGTTTAGTTTTTTTGTGTGTAGATTATTTAATGTTTGTTTTGTCTTATTATAAGTCATATCAATTCATCTTGAGGCCCCCAGTTGAGAACCTTGCTCTAGACTGTTCTGTTCTCACCCATCCAAATTTCAAAGGATCATCTGAAAATTAATAAAAGGAAAAACAATTCACTAGACAATTTCATGTACAGTACTGGAAGTTTATACAATATGATTTATACTAAAGTTTCCTTGTTTCTTATTGTTAGATGACCTATTTTTTGGGACTGTTGCTGATTCTGGCGTTCTCCTATTGGGTGCTGCTGGACACACACATGGGAGAGAAGGTGTATGGGGCAGCGGTCCTGCTAGGGGTTGGGTCTGGCACCATCCTGGTGATGTCTCTTGCCATGACGGCTGAACTCATAGGAGATCAGACAGTAAGTGTTGATATTAATCAGTCTTGAGGAACTGAAAACGTACAGCAACCGCTTCAAGCAGTTGTTTTATTTAGTGTATATTAAAGCGCTAACAACTTTAACTGTAACAAAACTGAACCAGTAAGAAAAGCAGATGTTTGCAGAAGTGAAAAAGGCATGTGCTTCAAAGGGACTAGTTTCAGAAGTGTTAAAATAGTCGCAGGAAACTAAAATTTGTTTTCAGAGAAGTTTTTGAGTTTCTGAAATGACTTTTCTTTTCCTCCTGACAGCAAAGCGGGGCTTTTGTTTATGGAGCTATGAGCTTCACAGACAAGGTGGCTAATGGTCTGGGAGTCATGATCATTCAGGTGCTACACCCCTGCCGGTAAGTGTGCACTTGAATGCATCAATGCATACTAGAATGTAAAGTGAGTAAGAAAGACTGTTTTAATGGCTTAATTTGATTTTTAGAGTAAAATTTCATTATTATATATTTAATTAAAAATTGTTTGTGTGTGATTTCTCTCATTCAGCACAATGGTATGCTGTCCGGCCTGCGTGTGGTATTACCACTATATCATGGTCATCGTCACTGGTGGAGTGGCCGTTTTAGCAGCACTGAGCCTCTCCGCGATCCTTATCTGGCCTATAAAGATTGTGCACTGTAAGAAACTCGACTAAACTATAATTTATGTCTGTCTTACTTGTTACATACATGCACTTCCTCTTTTTAATAGTGTTACTCAATAACATCTTCACCTCATGACTGACACATTGTTTTGTATTTCAGTATCTAAGCGAGATCATGAGAACAGTTCAATAAACAGCAAAGACTTTAAGGGTGAGGGCCACATGTCAGCATCTGAAATAACAATTAGGAATCTGAGCTAAATGACTTTCTCCTCAAAATACAATCAGAAACATCAATCATCCACCTTTAAATTAAAGGGGTCATATCATGAGGTCTGGTTTCCTTGATTTTTTCCCTGTTTTTGAGATAAAGGATTGTAAGAAATGTCAATTCATATAAATTGGATTTATTCCCAACAGTTTTTCTCTGATAACCAAGTGCTTTGATGCAGTTATTCTAAGCAAATCCATTCCAAACCCCAGAAGAACTAATGATAAAATTTGGGAAAGTTTGCCAAACCTTTCGTATTTGAAGGTGAAGATGGAAAATGCTCATAAAAAGCTAAAATATTATATAAGTGGATTTTGTTTTCATATTAAAAAAATGATATGACCCCTTTAAAGTGATTTTTTTTTTTTTTTTGCAGATAATAAAAGGTTGATTTCATACTTATACACTACCGTTCAAAGGTTTGGGGTCTGTAATAATTTAAGGATTTTGCAGTCTGTAATGCTCACCAAGGCTGCATTAATTTGATCAATAAAGCAACAACAGTAATATTGTGAAATAGTATTACTATTTAAAATAATTGTTTTCTATTGTAATATATATTAAAATGTAATTTATTCCTGTGATGGCAAAGCCAAGCGGCAACATTCTAATCTGAAAAATGAAGCCTACCCGGAAGTGCGAAAAACTGCAATACATCGAAAATCCGCTAGAGAGAGGTCCCAAAAGGGAGCAAATATCCATAGACCGCATGTTAAAATGTCCGTTTTCACAGCATAAATTTATATGTTTACATGTTGGTCCCATGGACTTTTATTGTATTTTTGGATAGGTCCCGAGTGCCTGACAACTGTGAGGGGGGTGAATTTTTTTCTAACTCGGTAGTTTAGATCGTATTTAGATATAAAATGTATGACAAATAAGCGCGTAATTGACAGCTTATAACGGGCTGCGCCGAGTGGAATTCCTGAAATTTGACGTCTCGACCATGATCTGACACAACACATCATACCACCTCTGTATCCTTTCTGAACATTTGTATTTGAAATATCGTAAGATTTTCCAAGATGGCACCGCCCATACCCCCCATAAACAACCTCAAAACCGTTCTTCAGAATGTCTATGGGTGACGTCACAGACGCTGAATTTTCAAAATCATTACAGTGTCACATGATCTTTTTTTGGGTGGGGATTATTTGATAAATAGAAAGTTCAAAAGAACAGCATTCATTTGAAATAGAAATCTTTTGTAACATTATACATGTTTTTACTGTCGATTTTGATCAGTTTAATTCGCCCTTGCCGAATAGAAGTTTTAAATTCTTGTAACTGACTCACCCCAATCTTTTGAACAATGGTGTATATGAACTTCTACATGAAATATCTAATGTTTGTATTGGTTTTGTAGATCTGCCTGAGGTGACTGGTCTTATGGGGAGTGATAGAGAGGACTCTGAGAGCTCTGAACAGCCTTCAGTCGACTGAACGTGCAGCAGACGCAGAGATTCTTCAGCTCTGATGCAGAGAATTCTGGTTTACACTTACAGTCGTGAAGGTTAGAGTTAAAAACAGGTTTTGGTTCAGAATAATCTTTCACACTGACAATATTTGCTAATTAAATCAATAGAGCGGTCATATCTTGACACATTTCTACAATAAAGGTTCACTACAAGGATGTGGTGAGTTCATTTTTAGACGTGATTAGTTAATATCGCTCATCTTTTCTATCATGGTTTCTTATTCCTTAGTTCTCACTTAACCCAGCAGTCTTTATAGACTGACACTTTATAAAGGGACTAACTTTTTATTATGCACATTATATCATGTTTATTATTTCAGCATTGTTTTTATTTATGATTATAAATTTAGTTCAGTTATTTAAATCAAACCTATGAAAATAAGGGAATTTATTTATGTAAGGCCAATGCAAGACTGCGCACATTTTATGATGGATGCATCATTCCAGATAACACTTAAAAGGAATCCATTTATCTTTTCCATAAGGGAATTCATGAAAAAGGGAAGAATTGGTCTTTTAAATCAGGGATATAAAGCCATGTGTTGTCATTTCAAGGCACATGTTCTGGTGTGAGATATGTGGGGTTTTGCTGTTAGGGACCAGAGAGCCAATGATGTGCATTTTCCCCTATAACCATTCTTGTATATTTTTATATATATATGTATAATTATGGTTTTAATATGTAAGACAATTGTGTCTGACATGTGTGTCTGTTCATATGATTTACTGAACAGAATAAATGTTCTTTGTGAACAGACATATCTGTATCATTGTAACCTGTCTTTAAAAGTAGTTACTCATTAGCAGGAATGCAGTGTCAGTGTGAGTGAATGTAACATACATCTGGTCAGCTGATTTTGCGTGATGCTTGGGACTTTAAACACTCAAAATAACTCATAAAAGCTGTCGCTCAGATGTAGCTGAAATGAATTAAATGTATTCTATTATAGTGGAAAGGAATCAGCAAAACCAGGATGTTTATAAAAAGACAATATTTGTATTTTATTATCTTTGACGTCTTGTTTAAATTGACTTTTAAATAAAAGTGTTTATTTCTTAAATATACAGTGTCAGTGATAATTAATAGGACGTACAAAAACAAAACCAAGTAATAAAGACTGTATATTGCAGATCTGTTAAGAAACTAATATACTTTTATTCTACAAGGATGCAATAAATAGTTTAGACATATTTAACTAATGTTACTAAAAACGTTTTTTTAACGTTCTATTCATTAAAGAATCTTGAAAATTATAGTTTATAATTGTATAGTAATAAAATTAATTTATAGTATTAAAATAGAAAACAGTTTTTTAAAATTGTAACAATATTTTACATTATTGCTGTTTTTTTACTGTAGGAGCCAAATGTAATGATTGTTCAACCACTAGATGGCAGTGTGCACCAGTGGTGTAGGTGTGGTCCAGACTAGAGCCAAGAGATGGCTTCTCTCTATGGCTCTGGTGCTTTCTTTTACTGTCTATGCTCTGGTGTGGTCACCTGTTAATAATATCACGTGATATTTAAACTTCCCGTGCGTCCCAATCGCATACTATCCGTCCTAAATACTAATAGTATTCAAATATACTATGCCAATCATGGCCTCCTAATAATCCCCATCCACTGAATTGGCTCTATCACTCTCTCTCCTCTACAACTATAGCTGGTGTGTGGTGAGCGCACTGGCGCCGTTGTACTGTGGCTGCCGTCGCATCATCCAAGTGGATGCTGCACACTGGTGCTGGTTGAGGAGAGAACCCCTGATATGATTGTAAAGCGCTTTGGGTGTACAGTAGTACATATGAAAGCGCTATATAAATGCCCCATTCATTCATTCATTCATTCATTCATTCATATAGAATTAGTACGTCCCAAATCATAGTATGTTGAAATGAGTATTCCAAAGATTGATGGTCTACTTTTTCTGGTCAGAATCTATTTTTTACAGTCTATGGTCAGAATCCGAAGTGCAGATCCATATCCCACAAGTTCACAACCATAGACAGTAAAAGAAAGTACACAACGAGGATTCGATTAGAACTAGCCTACAAACACGAGTAAAAAGTGTTAAAAAACGACAGACATATGTGATGACGGAGGACGGACGTCTAGGCGGTTATGTAAAGAGGTTTAGATAAAGGGGTTTGAGTGATTAATTATCAGTATCTAACCTGACGAAAATGTATTTATTCAATGTTGTCCACATTATATTTCATCTGCAGCAGCATGTGAACTTTTGTAAATGTTAAAATATATGTTTAGCCATTAACTTTTAAATACATCATTATATTAATTGCAAACTAATGAGGAAAGTCTCCGCATGAAAGACCCACGACCGGCAGACCAACGTGCTACAACATTTCTCTCCGAAACGGTAGGAAATTAAATTAGATTGAATGGAAGATTTTATCTGTGACAAGATGATTGACAGGGCAGTTAACGGTGGATGCACGCGACAGAGCTTGCACGGACAGGTGGCGGGAACATAGGTTACAGATCCACTGCTTTTTAAGATATACATTTCTTTAAATGGACAACAAAGGATCTCGCTGTGTGTACATTGTTTTTTTCCTAAATATGAGAGAAGAACATCTTTCCAGCACTGGCAGAGGTGGAGTAACTACAAATAGCCTACTTTCGTTACAGTACTTGAGTAGATTTTTCTATTCTACTTTCTTGAGTATAATTAAATTGTGGTACTTTTACTTGAGTTGAATAAAAAATAAAGTATTCAACTTCGCTCCATTTATTTTTCACCGAAAGTACAAGTAGCCTACTTTGACAAAGGTGCCGACGGAGCAATAAGGCGAGCTGACATTTGACATACACCTTTTTAAACTACTGCGATGGAACCCTGCGTTTCAGCCAATAACAGACAGATCTGAAGCGCTTCAGCCAATAACAGACAGGTACTGACTCGGGTGCAAAACCAATCAAAACTTCCAGTTCAGCTGGGGGGCGCTTTGACACTTGACAGTCAATCACTGGACGGTTGAACGGTTTTGAATCAGTATGCTAACGTTTCAATATTTTAGTGAATGTAAGTGAGGCAGTGAACTATGATCATATTCTGATTTTAAATTGAAATGGGTCATAGGCCTATCATTGATTTTACTAGAGCACTGAGCAGTTGAAGTAAATAGAAAACTCGACTCATACAAGGACGCAGTTATTGCATGGACGGAGCAAAAACAATGTAAGTGTAAAAAATTTACACAGTTCAGTTTAATGGTAAATCTTGCCCTATTTAACAATGCAGGTAAACTAAATGTATGAAGCAAACTTTGTACGAAGCTGAAATGACCTCAACATAAGCAACAACAGTGAGATTGGATTATATATCTGTCAATCAGATGCTCGTTACTATAGCAACAGGGGGCTCCCGGCACATTTTCGGTAGAACAAAAAAAAAAAAAACATTTTATTTAACGTTAACCTGTACCTCACTTTATTGTTTTACTGACACTTTTTTATTCATACTATTTTAATCCCACATTTTTCTGATCAGTCCTCTCACTTACCATTATTTGCTTTTGCGCTTCTTAAAGCTGCAGTCCGCAGTTTTTCCTCTTTGTTGCCATCTCTGTTTGAAATCTGCAATTGCAGTTATTCGCGGAATTATCAACTTTACGTGAGTTGTACTTCGACACGGACGGCACAGCGTGGATGAATCCAATGTTTGAGGAGAGTGTGCGGCTGTCAGTGACCGTGCCGGTGTTGTGCCTAATTTCGGCCCCCTGCCAAATTATTACCCCTCTCGTTGAAGTCAGTACCTGATTGCCTAATCCCAACCCTGCCCCTAATCCTAACCCCTCCCCCACAACTAATCCTAAACCAATGCTAGGGGGGTAATAATCAGGGGTCGAAATTCGCCACAACACCGGTGTGGATACTGACATTCAGAATCACAGATTATTCTTTTTGGAAGTATGACCAACATAATAATTTTCACTGGAAAATGTCATCTGAACAAGGAAAGCCCCGTTCACACCGCCAGCGATTTTGTCGCTACATGTCGCTATTCTCTGTACTGTGAAGTCGCTTTTGGGCGTTCGTAGTGCTGTCGCTCTAATGTTATTGGTTGACTGCACGTCTGGCCATATATCTACACAAAATACCATCAGAAGTGACATATACAACTATATCATTTTAATTTGACTAGGAATTAGGCTCAAAAGAAACTGCTGTGGTAATATAAAAACACTCTCCCAACAGCTGTGTTCAGTGGATTAAATCATTTACTAGATTAACGATTGATCAATCAACAAATTAAACTCACTCATTCTGTCATAAATTACTAAAACGTCATTCGAATTTGACAAATAATCAATTTTCTTGTCCCTAATAGTCAACATAATGCAGGGGAAACTGTAAAATGATCTGCAGCAGTGCTAAACATGCATCATAAAATTACAACACTCGAACTATAAATGTATATGAATTAAACTCACTGAGACTGTCGACAGTTTCTTTTCCATTCGTCATTTTATTATATCCATGTTTGTGGTTACAGTCAAATCATATAAAACAGTGAAATCTCCCTCGAACTCTTCTGTCTTGCCTGCACTCGAGACGGTGACGTGAGCTCCACTGAAAGTCTTCTTTCCTATTGGTTGTCGCTCGCAAAAATCGCTTCTCATTTGCATAAAGTTGAACATTCTCAACTTTTGTCGCTTGTCGCTTGACACGCCCACATTCTGTCGCCAACGGTCACTGTCGCTCATGTCGCCGGATGTGGCCAGCGCTCCATTGAAATAAAGCCCCGTTCACACTACACGCGACTTTGTCGCTGCAAGTCGCCAGGCGCTGGCGATGAGGTCGCTAGTGGGCGTTCCCACTACTGGTTGACTAGTATGACATCCAAAAGACATCGAATCAGCTTTCTTGCCATCCATCACTGCAGGCCCAGGGGCTGAGGAGAAGGATCAGGTGCGCTCCACTCCTATTGGTTGTCGTTCGCGAAAATCGCTCTTCATTTGCATAAAGTTAAAAATTTCTCAACTTTGTCGCGTCGCTAGACACGCCCCATCTAGTCGCCAACGGTCGCTGTCGCGCGTGTCGCCGGAAGTCGCCCGCTCACCATTGAAATGAATGGTATCGCGTCGCGTGTAGTGTGAACGGGGCTTTAATGGGATCGTGTCGCTTTGTCGCTGGCGGTGTGAACGGGGCTTAAGTAACATCCACTTTTGTTCTGGTTCTGACATTCCAGTAAATCGCGCTGATTAAATCTAACAATCGCTTATCATATCACATAAAACCGTGCAAATTATACTTTGTTTTCAAATTGTTAATGTTAACAACTTCAGCCTAGCGTGACTACATTTAATGTCCTTCCGATATCCTTGTTTTCGCATGGGCCGGTTGCAGTCTCTTTTTTTCTGTAGCCACTCTGAAGTCCGAACGAAGTCTTTTGCATTTTATAACGGGTTTTACAACATTTTACAACCTGTGGGAAAAGGCTATAAAAAGGCTATACTAGCGGAGACTCCTTCTTAAAGGCTGGAACACACCAAGCCGACGGTCGGCCGTCGGGCAGTTTTTGTGCGTCGGCCGACTGAGTTTCCTCGGTGTGTTCCGCACGGTTCCGTGCCGTCGGCTGAAATTGGTCCTCGTCGGCTTTGTTTCGGCCGATTCGACATGTTGAATCGGCGTCGGGCCGTCGGTGAAAGAGGGAACTCTGATTGGCTGCTCAGCTTAGTGAAAGAATCAATGCACGAGAATAATAGCAAAACAGCAAGCAAAGAAGTTAAAACTCTACAGATAGAAGTCTGTTCTTATGTTACGTCATCTTACCTTAGTGTTCCTTGGCGAATATTTCAATATTAACACGAGCGGAGTGAAATAAAGAAAGTGTTTAGCAGGATTGATATTCAAAACGGTAAGCACGCACTGCTTTGTTTATGGTATGTGTATCTGCAGCCGGCAGCGTCGGTTTCCCTTTTTGAATGACGAATATAGAGAATATATCTGCAGAAATAGACAGTTGTCTCATTTACACGCAGGCGCAGAACGCGCATTCTAGCTGACAGTCGGCTGTAGTTCTCTCGGTGTGTTCAAGTGC